ATAACATTTTTATAAACTCAATGGTGGCACTTTTGTTTTTGCAAAAGAAACAAAACAAAAAATCATCAAGAGACCATGAAAAAGAAATGGTCATGGGGAGCACGCGAATTTCATAAAAACGAAAAGGAAAAAAGCCAAAGAAAAATGTCATGCTGTGATTTTCGAATTATTATGCGACGGTTTGGCCTTTTCTGTTATTATTTTAAAAAATATTTTAAAATGTTTATGAAAAGAACAAATCTAAACAAACGCTTTTAAGAGCCCAAATAAGAAAAATAAAACAAAACTTAAAATATGCCTTTAAAAATTTTAAAATTTTTTATTCCTTGAAGATAACGAATTGAAAAGTTCAAGAAAAAAAATGTTTGTTTTTGAATTTCATTGTTTTTTTTTGATTTTTTATTATTTTTGTTCACCAAAAACAAAGAAAGCTGATAATAAAATTCAAAATATTTCTTAAAAGTTATTTATTGAATTTTTTTTTGCCATTTCATAGCTTTTTAATGCACTTTTTTAAATGAACTTGCCTTGAATACCTCAAAAAATACCACGAAAATAATCGAACAGAAATAAGAGAAACACAACAAATCATGACTTAAAATTTCAAATCAATGGAAATTGTTAAATAAGTGCATGTTGTTAAGAATGTCGCCAACAAGAGAGTTCATACCTCTTCTTCCTCCCCATCCCCCTGCCCCTTCTTTAGACCCACTTATTATGATTTTACGATGTAGAAATCAATTGGCTTCTTCATTACTCGTTTTTATTTGTTTTTTTTTTTTTCGCATTTTTGCATTTATTTTTTGGATGATCACAGTTTGTTAGTTGGTACCACTTCATCATGACAATCAACTATCAGGCATAACAAATCACTTTAGTAGTTTTTAGGCTTTTTATTGTTTTTTTTAATGAAAAGGTGTCCAAAATTAATGTTTTATCAAATTTTTGAAATTCTTATTTGATTCTTTGTTTTTGATCTTTTAGGTGTAGTGTAAGGCAGACATATTTTTAAAGAAATATTTATAATAAAATGGAATACAAAGAATCTAATATAATAATATATAATTTGGATTTGATTTACGCAATGCGATATATGCGATTTGTGACAGAAAAAGTTCAAGAATATGCAAGAAATTTATACTATATAAGCTATTAAACACTAATTTGTTTAAAATATCACTCTGGAACAAGCTATTAGTTTTATTTTACAGTATAAATAATATGTGATGAGTCTCAATTGATGTATTGATCTAGCATACTTAATGTTCTTTGCTTCACTGACAATTCCGTAAGCGAAAATCATAGTAATTGTTTTCATTTACTGGCAGCATAACAGATAATAGCAACTATTTAGAAGTTGGCTGGGCAACACTGACTTTCAGCCATTTTGTTTACATAAATAAAATTATACAATTGTGATTCTACGTTATAATTAGTGTGACATGACAGTAACTGGCATGACAGTTACTATGGCATGACAGTATTTTTGAATATTATAAAGGATTTCTTTTAAACTGCCTAGTTAAAAAAAGCTTATTTCCTCTCGCCGAAACTACAATTTCCAGCAAACACATATGAGATAAGGTGCCCGTTAGACTCCTTTGTGAACCAAAACCATTCTATAACCGAAAACAATTTAAAACTACCGCCTTTTGAGTTAAATGACGTACTTTTTAACCTAAGAACTTTCATTGTTATTGTGTTAAAACATTTCTGTTAGCAGGACCACAAAATTTTAAATCTTCCAATTTGTGGGGTCGTTTAAAAAAGCTTATATTTTTTAAATTATATTCATCAAAAGTCATTTCCATTAAAACTGTTATATCCGTATAACAGTAAAATATTTTTAATAAAAAATATGAAATTTATAACAAAAGAAAAAATCAACAGTAAAGTAAAAGCAATTTTAGGAAAAAAAATTAAGTGCTAGCCAAAAAAAAATAATCCAAAACCAATGACTTATAGACGAAAAAAAAAGAGTGGAGAAAACAATATTGGAAAGGAAACCTTTAAGGTATAACAGAAAAAAAAACACAAGAAAAAATCATGAACTTTTAACTATCATGATTTTACTATTATCGTTATTATTCATCTCTTCTATATATAGTTTATTGACTGGACCAGCACTATTTTTTCTTGTATATATCTTTCTCTCCTTTCATAACATTTCACCTGCTTTTAATAATTCTTTTCTCCACCTTAATATAAAATTGAACATCTGCGCTATCAACCTGTATAACATTTTATAGAAAAAATTGTTTTTTTTTTTTTTTTTTTTTTTGTGGTTTATTTATTGTTTCTGTTGTTTTTCAATTCAAACTGCACAATGGCACTATATATTCTATTATATATAGAGTGCTATGGAATCCATTCAATCCGATTTAATTTTTAAAAAAATGGAAATCGAATGATAATCGAATGATAATAATAGTAATATGATATGATAGCTGTTATAAAAGTTGGTTAATACTTATATACCTATATAATGATATTAGAGTTCAAAAAATAAATTGTAGAGAAACACTGCTGTCAAATGGTGTTATTTTGGTCTATACGAAAGGATATTATTATTTTTATCTTTTAAAAATGGCGTATTTTTATAATATTATAAGTAAATGTTTTAAGATTTATTATTAAAACTTTAATATAAATAATTTGTGATATGAAGAAAAACCAATTCCATGTAACACAAAGAAATCTATCTGGTTCTCTCTCTTATATTGCGCAAAAATGAAGAAGAAATTCAATGTTAACCGCAATATGAATGCGATCTAAGAAAATTTTGACATGTTGGAATATTTTTGCTGTCATAATTTTGAAACTTGTGGTAAAATGTAATTCTAGTGTTAAGAACTTTGAACTCTGTCTAAATTTAATTATAATATCACTTAATTTTAATTAGTAAAGATGTTGTTAGATTTGCGCCTAAATGCAAACTTAAGAACTATTTGAACGAGTCAACAAAATAGAACATTTTGAACATCTTGCAAATTTATTGCATATCTTTAGGGGCTTGGACACTAAAGATATGCAATAAATGATTTAAAGATGCGTTCGACCCTGTTTTTCAAATTCATTTATGAACAATAAAATTAAAATAATTGCCACAGATTTTGAGATAACGAAAAACAATGCTTTATAAAACTCCCTTATAAAATTAAAAGTCGGTCCCAAAAACGATATATTGTGAAAAATTTGCAAAGAAAACGACAAGTAAAAAATTTCAATATTCATTTACAATTTTCGAAAAATTAAATTTAAAATTTTTAAAATATTATATTCCGCCTATTGAATCACCTTGTACTTTTATTCTTTCTTCAGATATTTTAAATAAATTTTTTCTCATAATGAACGTAATTCAATTTTTCCCTTACACAAACTTATTATCACTTTGTTCCTTAGAGACTATATTAAATTATTTAACTATTTCTATGAACCCTATGGGAAAATTTGGGCCATAAAGAAAATTTTTTATTCAGACGTAAATAATTTACCACAACCACAATATCCTTACGATCCTACATATTTAATTCCTTTGTGCTTTGTATATAATAAAAAAATTTTTGTTAAAAATTCGATTATAATTGAGAATTCAATTAAATCACAAATATTTTCAATTGAATTTTAAATTCCATAATACCATTATTACTTGAAAAATATAGAAATAAATTTCAAATAAATTTCTACAACAATAAAATCCCTACTACATAGTTTATACCCTGATATCCTTGAGAAAAAGAAAAAATATTTCAAAATTTCCTTTTAAGGAAAATGTTTTTTTAATTTTTTAACTAGAACTTCATTCACACAATAACTTACAATAAATAATAATTGAACAATTTTTCCTACATATTAATTTCTAATATCCTAGAAAATATTTATGTTTTTTTCTTCAGTTTCTTGTCCTATCCCAAAAAATATTCTATAAAAATAAAAATTTAAGAGAATTTAATGAAATTTTATTTTTTATTTTCAAAAATTTTCATTTGAATTCATTTTAATTCAATTGATCTCATATTAATTTACTGGAAAACAATTATTCTTTTTACATTACTATGGAATTAAAATGCTCTTTGGAGAGTACGTGTAGCTTGAAATGAAAAAAATATCCTTATTTGAAAATGAAATTATTCTATTTTCTAAAAATTTTCGAAATTATTCATCGAAAAATAATTGAATAAAAATTAAAGATTTTAAATGAATAAAATGAACAATATTTAAAAAACAGTAATTAAAAGCGGTTTATAAGACAGCACATTTCCATTTAAGAAATAATATTTTAGTTCGAGATAACGAAACGATCTATTTAAATAGTGTTCACTTTTCCGTATGTAATTTTGCATAAATTTATGGGGAAATTTTAGAATAACAATTTTCGAAAAATTCTATGAAATTAATTAGAAATACAATAAAATTGCATATCTGGCATTTAAGAAATAGGGGTATATATATAATGGGTAAGAAGACGATTACTTTTAGAATTCAAAATTTTTGTAGCACGTATAAGTGTCCAATAGATTTTATAGTGCCGAACAATAACGAAATATGAAAGTACGAAAGGAGTTGCAAAAAATTTGATTTCAGGGGAATAGATCCTAGTTTCCGAATATTAGAGAAAAATTACTTCGAAAATTACCGAAAAATCATTTTAAGTTTGAGAGAATTAATTTGGAGGGTCGATGCCCTGATATTTGTTTATATAAAAGAAATAATTCCCACCATTTCTGAATTTTTATATAGAATTCATAAATTTTCATCTTTCTATCTTGAACGGTGTACAAGCTTTCCAAACAGACAAACAGAACCACAGATAAATTGAATTGACATAGAGTATTTACTAGCTTGTAACTTGGTCCAATAATTACCAACTTTCACACAAATATAATTTGGCGTTCATTTACTCATACATACATATACTTTGTATAATTTTAATTTTTTTAAAATAATTAACATTTTTTTTACATTAATAATTACTAAAATTTTTCTTTATATATTTTCAGGGAATTCAAACACAAAATTTAGATGACAAGAAAATTAATTATCAAATTATTAAAAATCATAATTATTATAATCAACATCAATATCAACAAAATAATAATGATAATGATAATATAAATAATATAAATAATAATAATCAAAATAATAATTATAATAAACAACCAACAACTGTGATAATTCGTAAAGATATTTTAAGTTTTAATTTCTCTGATATACCAATATCAGAGAAATCAACATTAGAAGATGAAATTGATAAAATAAGAGATAGTTATAATAAAATAAATAATTTAAAATTATTATATAATAAATATAATTTAAATAATAATAATATTAATAATGGTATTGGTGGTAGTGATGATAATAATAATAGTAATGATATTGATAATATAAATAATTTAATTATTGATAGTGCAACATTAAATAATTTAATAAATCAACAATATGGTTCAGTTGTTACTGGTACACCAAAACCATCGATAACACAATTAGATGATATATTTATAAGTGTTAAAACAACAAAAAATTATCACGATAATAGATTGGCATTAATTATAAAAACATGGTTTCAATTAGCAAAAGATCAGGTGAGTTTTATTTTTTTTTTTATTTTTTTTTAAATTATTTTAATATTTTATAAATTTTAATAGAATATTTTGTAATTCTCTGACAAAAATCAATTTATTTTAATATTTTCTCTTTATCAAAAACTATTTTACTTAATTTAGTAGATATTTTACAATTTACTGGGCTAAAGAGTAAAATTACAATAAAATCGAGTAAAATGTTTAATAAACCAATAATTTTACTCAAAAAATATAATGCTGTCAATAATAATAACAATATTTATTAAGTGTAAAATTACTCAATATTAGAGTAAAATTTACACTGCAAAGAAGATTCTTCTCGTTCATGATGTAAATTTACACTCTTTAGTTGTAATTTTCATCGATAAAAATAATTTTGTAATTCATTTGCTATACAATCTAGTTGATAACTACATGGTTAATTAATCGAGTAATTATTGCCCCCTTTGATTTTAACTACCTATTCTACTATTATAATTGGAGTTACTTGGGATTTCTTCAATTATTGATCGGGTAAAATTACCCGAACATTTTCTTAGAGTGTATTTATTCTTAGAGTGTAAGTTTCATTTTAATTGGAATATTTTCTAAAATTAAATTTGTTTTTTCAAAACAGTGCTAATTTTTTTTGTTAACAATTTTTATTTTGAATAAATTCCTTGTATTTTGCATAAAAAATTGTTTTCGAAGTTCAGTGTGTTGCATATCTTACAATATACATTCGTCTTCTTCTCTCATGATAATTAAATAAAGCGTGAAATATCACATAAAGAAAACTAATTCCCACATTACGGTAAATTTAAAAAAAAAATTAATTCAATTTCATGAATAAATGAAGAAAGAAATTAATTTTTTTTCAATTTCTTAATAATTTCAAAGTTTAATCAATATTCTACAAATGGAAACAATTGAATGTAATTTAAGACATAAAAAAATTTCTATATTAAAAATTGCAATTTTGCTTATAAAATTTGAAAAAAAAATTTGACAAAAATCCAAGTTCGTTTAATAAATGGTTGGATAAGCAGTTATGAGATCTTCAACTCAATAGAAACATTTTAGTATTGAGAAAAATTTGCACACACACAATGAAAAAGTCTAAAATTGGAAAGAATTTTCTTCTTCGATTAAGAAAGGGCTAGCGTGCATAATATGAAAAAATCAAGTATTTTATATGAAATTAGGACATTTGTTTGTCAAATCCTTGAAATATTAGAAAATCCTTAGCAAAATTTAAAGAGTAAAAATACTATAGCAAAAAAATGTTCTTTAGAAATTTGACAAAATTCGATAAACCCGTTTTTTGTCAATTTTTTGACCCCGATTAAACTATCTAGTCCTTATTGTATTAAAATACGATCGCTGAAAAATTCCGGAACATAGAATGAAGAAAACCCTATAAACTGAAGAAACTTATTGCATATTTTTAGGCGGCTCATAATTTTTTGACAATTTTCTACAGAAATTTGTTAACTTCTTGTTACTCCGGGCATCAAAAGGCGTTCGAGCTCATCAAAAAGGTGGGCTTTGAACAGGAGTTATAGCGTATGCGCCGCATACCTAGTTAAAATGTATATAGTTATAACATGCGAGTTTCCATGTTAAATTTTATTACAACAGAGTATGGAAATGTAACAAATCTCACGGGGCATTTTCTATTTCTATATATGTATTCGAAAAATGAAGGAATTCCTTATCATATATGTACATAAATTCCATTTGAACAATAAAAAATTCCAAATCAACACAAGTTTTTAAATATAAAAAATAAAGTAAAGTTCAAGAGTATAAAATTCCAATGTGTATTGAATTTAAAAAAAAATAAAAAACAACTAGAACAAATAGGGAATAATAAAACAAAAAAAACTACAGCATTTGACGGCAAATTGGCTAAGTTAATAAATAAGTTATTCAATTTTATAGTCACAACTACAATACACTAATATAAATAAGTAGGTACATCTAATTTTTTTACTCCTGTCCCTACAAATTCAATTCAATTCCTATTGAATTGATTGACTGTAACACGATCAATTTTTCTATACAAAATTTTTTTTGTTTTTTTTTATATGCTCCTTTCTTTTTGCTGTCTATTAATCACCGACTGTATTACAGGGGGGTATTGCGATGACATCAAATTTTATAATATATTGAGTTTGCAACAGTAGTGTGTTTCTCTGGAACAGGGAATAATAAAAAATTATTCGTATATCTCAAATTCGCCTGAACCAATTTGTATAAAAATTTATACCAAAGCTGGGTTCTGGTTTGTCCTAGAACGTCATTCACCCACAATTTGCAAAGGTTATTATATTGTAGTAGTTTTTGAGGATAGTGCCAAAAATTGCAGTTTCTGTTGCTAGCTCAAGTGATTATCATTTTTGTGGCATGTGTTACAGCATTTACAAAAACTAATTCGCAAAAATGGCTGATTTTGATGTAGAAAAGCAATAAAAGTAAGAGAAAATAAATGATAACCTCAAAATATTAAAACATCAACTATCGCTTTATTTGACTTTATAAGAGTTGCTTTATTTGCATACGACTGTCATTTGCAAATGAAAGTGATCGACATAACCTAATTGACATAACCGTGAAATTGATGACGTTCTGAGAAAGTACTTTATTTTAACCATGTGGTGGAATTTCCTTAAGTTTTACTTATATTACTTCCATTCGAAAATCAAGTGCCATAATTGAATTGGATTGAACACAATTCAAAAACTACACTTAATGCCATGTCGGTTATGTGCCGATCACATCACACTATTTTGTCTTACTATATTTTACTATTATTGCAATAATGCTTGCACTTTTTTATTTTTATTTTTTAATATTTTTTCTTCTTATTATAATATTAGTCTTCTAGATGTCTGTTATTTGTTTGATCGCTTGTTGGCACGATCACTCACATATTATATAGAAAAAGAAAAGAATTCAATATTATATAGAGTTTATTCTTATGAGATATTTGAAAACATGTTTACTTATGTGTAAAATAATTCATCATCATCATCATTAAAATAATATAAACTAATAATAATTGAAGTATAAAAGAAAATTCAAGAAAAAGAAATTTAATTCTATATAAGAAATTAAATTGCTATTTGATTATCACTTATCGGACACCATCATCATCATTTTATAAAAATAATGATCAAATGATTATTATTACTCTACAGATTTGTTAGTTAGCGTTTATATTTGTAATATCAAGATCAAGACGTGATCTTGGACATTTTTTCATTTCGTTTCACTGCGAAACTTTACCTTTCATCGTTTGTTATGTCTTATTAATTTCTGTTTTTGTTTTTTCTTGTTTTGTTCTTCATCGCACTGATCTTTGCCAATTGAATTCTTACTGGTTGTATATGTGTGTATAGTAATATTTTATTTGGAATTATGCCATAAGAATCATAGTAACTTGCACAATTTAACAATATTATAGTACTTATACAGGAATAGCATTAGACCAGAGCACTATGTGATGAATATGCGATTTTAATGTTCATATACATATAGGCACAATAAACAAGAATCATGAAGATAACTGGTATATAAAGGAAAAAATTAAATAATATTGGGAGTAGTTTTATCTTACTTTGTTCAACTGAAATTTTTTGTAAAAATCACATGTTTACTTAGAGTTCTAAATTGATAGTGTTATCGAAAAATATGGACTATACTATAGAACTTAACACATGAAATAGTCCACTGAAACAATAGTTAAACAAATTTATTCTATTCAAAACGCATTTTCTTAACCAAATTTTAAACTGTCTCCAGTTCACTTTCAGATTATATACCTTCAACGTCAATTTTCGAGAACTTATTACGCGGCACCTATAATATAAGAATTTTTTAATGTAGAAAATTTAGAAAATTATTGACCTACCGTTTCTATCGGCCACACTCATAAAAATAAAAACCACACTGTACTTAAATCATCGTTTCAAGTTAATCGTTCAAATTAATTGTACAGAAATGTGCTGTTTTGCAAACTATTGGTTCGGTCGAAACTGTACTATCGTCTTATTCAATTTAGAATTGAATGTGATGAGTGGAAAATGATAATAAAATTATTTTTCAATTTAAACGCGATTCTATCTTATATATTAAACTGTTTATTGGCTAATCTACGATAATCACGGTACGTATATCATTTTGTGGTCGATATGATCTATTGTGTCTCATACCAGAACAATATTCCTAATGGAATTGGAAATTGCTATTAGTAGTGATAATATTAGTAGTGATCGTATTTTGAAGATAATTTTTCTTCAAATCTGCTTTTAATATAATTTGAATGAAAACTAAAATTGCTTTTACTTGGTAGTCAAACAAGCATAATTATAACCTCTAATTGCTTATCTATTTTAGTACTTTCATTATTATTCAATTAATTTATTAATTAAATTATTTAATTATTTAATACAAAATTCATAAAATTTGTAATTCAAATAATCCAATTAATTAATTATTAAAAATAATTAAATTTAATAAAAATATTTCTATAATAATTAATTGAAATTTTTCATAACCGCGTAAATATTTTTAATAATTAAAATTATTCAAAATAATTTCTAAAATAATAAGGGAGAGTGTGGTATAAGTGCGCCATAAATCATTTAAAAATTCTTGAAAATTAATCCCACAATTAATTAAGTAAGTGTATAAAATTTATATTTTTATATTAAATTTCAATTGAAAACAAGTTTATTGTAATTATTACAATAGCAACACAATTTCATTAGAAATTAATATTAACATTTTAATTATATCACGCGTATAAAGAAATCAATAAAATTTTCAATTTTAAAATTAAAATGTTGATATATGTGTGTATTTTTACAAAAAAAACAATATAAAACTTTAATTATTAACTTGAAAAATTTAATTAAATTCACAAAGTAATAATTATTTCATCTAGATTCAATTGAACTATTTTATACAATTTAATTTTGAATTGTTTAAAAAAACCTCCTACCAAAAAATCAATT